GAGCATTCGTAGGCGCCTCATCAAGCTGCAGGCCGATGAAAATGATTAGCGGAAAAACCAGGCTGGGATTAGACCATAACCATAAATTTAGATATAGTAAGATGCTTGTGAAATTGTATATAAATAGAATATTTGTGAAAAGTAGAGTTAGTCTGGCAAGAACGTAGAAGTTGAGATTCCGGCCAAAATAAATTGTAAATAAATATTCCTACTATTGTGAAAGACAAAGCAGTAAAACAAAAGAACTTTGAAGTGCATTTCTCCTGATCAAAATATCCACGATCTAGTGATACGGACTGTATCTCATAAAAGCGAATTTCATAACAATGTTCTTTTTTTTTTTATACAACAGAGGAAGCAGTTATTGATGCCTTGTGTGCGGTATGATCACGGACCGATTCAAAAAACTCCTGTTTTCTCAATTCATCCACGCATCTGTTTCATCGTTAAGAGAAAACTTTAGGTGGCAATATCTGATAGGTAAAAGCCACGACCCACTTTCGGACAATGTTTACAATACAAAATGTATTCGGCACATGCAAGCGATCGTTGACTTTCGAGTTCATAAGAGCCGTTGGCTTTAAAGGTACTGAGAGCCTAAGAGAGGATAGTTTACGTTTGCAAAAACTCGATATCGAAAACTTATCTAATGTCTTAAACAACACGAAGCTGAAGCTTTTTTGTTTAAAAAACATTTCTTAAAGAAAAAACGGTTCAATGGTGACTGGATTTGGCATTGTACTATTAAAAATTCCTTGGTTTGTTGTTCCAGATGCAAAGTATTGGCCTATAGCGGTTGCGTAGCATACATTTTAAGACTTATATTGTTTTGTCAAGTCTAAAGTCCCGTAAACAACACAAATAATTTTTGAAAAATGATTCCACACATTTAGTTAACACAAGGCGTGTGTAACTGTAGGTACCCCATGACGTTACAACTGCAATTTTGATGGTAACGTAGCAATTGCGATGGTAACATTAATATATTCTATGCAAGGTACAGGAACAATAATAACCTTAGCATAAAATGTGTGAAAAACCACAGGCTTAATATGTATAACGAGCACCATAAAATATGTAAGCAAATCATTGTCGCGGTAACAATATTATTGGATAAAGATGATTGAACGAATGTATCGAGCAGTGTTTAGTTAGTTTTGGGCTTTAGCCTAAAGATGGACTATGGCATCCACACGTCATTGTTCCAAAAGACCTATGTACAATCGGCCAAACTTCAATACCATTGCGCTAATCATTCGACGGAGTCTATACTTCAAGAACACTACCGTGAGTACAACAATAAAAAATAAAATATTCATATTTTACGGCTACGTAAGAAGGTGGGAACTCACACAACAATAACCGACAGAAAAGAAAACACAACACAAAAAAAAAAGAACCGGATAAACAAAACGATGACAATGACTTGCAAAACTGTTTTAACTGTGAGAAAACATTTTCGTGCATAAATTACCAAGTTGGTCATAATGACTATCATGTAATGGATCCTTTAAAATGCTATGAAGAAGGACTTTTTCATGTAAGCAAACACTTTTTGCGAGAAAACTCCTTCAAGCTAGCACGTCCCGCCTTCGTCTAGTCTGGTTGGCGTCTAGTTTAATTGCAATGTCCGTCAATTTTCACTTTGTGGTTATGAAAGTTGCTTCCGAAACATCAGTCACGTCGCAAGAAATGCAAATTTACTTAAGCGATTTTTTAATACGCTTCTTCTTCTCTTTGCTATTATTTTAAACAGCGCGTGAAACGGCATCTCTTTTGCAAGACAAAGACTGCAAATTAAATGAAATAACAGTGACATACGAAGTACAAATTAGGCCGTAAATGTCTAGAAAGTATGAATGAATTCGAAGTGTACATGTTGCACATGCTGAGCGTTTACCTAACGCTGTGGCCGCTCTGGACGTTTTTCTCACGTCTAAATGCCTGGCTGCAAACAAATCTGGACCAAGCATAGAAGATTTTCTGTAAGCAAACATTGACCAAATGTCATACGCTAGTTCGGTATCCTAGATTTTCCGAATCAAGTAAGTGTTTAGCAAGTAATCAGACGGATTGATAGGGATTGCTAATAAAATCAATTCAACGCTGAACTTTGATTCTTTATGCTGCTTACTTGCAATCAATCTATGGCTTTTTTCATTGTACTCCTTATTAGATGAACCGAGTAACCATCCTTTGCCCATCGCTAGCGATATCGTGGAGGTATTGAATACTCAAGTAATATTGAGCGAAAGAGTAAAATTTAGTCTTTACAGGCGCGGACACGTAAATAGCACACATTCCGCTATGTGAATAAATACAAAAATTTATTCTTTTTTTCCAAAGTAATTTAAATACGTAACTATTTCAATCGCCTCTTTTCCTTCCCGACACAAATTAGCAATAGTTTTGTGATGCAGAACTCTAGTCATGGCCACGTTTAACAGCGATCCCAATTAATTTAAAACATAAAGCAAGTCCGATTCAAAAAAACATTGTTCAATTATTGGGTCATTTTTTATGTTTTTGCTCTATTGTCATTCCCAAAAAATGTTCCCATGTTTGGCAATTATTCTTATGACTCTTAAGCATATAAAGTGAACGTAGATGCACACAGCACGAAGAACGTCTTGAATAATTCTATTTTGACGAATTAACTTAACGTGAACTATTTAAAAGGGATAATACCGCTCCCATGTAACCATTCCTACGACAAGTAAACCTCAATATGGCCAAAAGGTTCAATGTTTGTTATTTTGCGATGAAGATTGGTCCATAATAACCTGACACAGATGTGCACGCTAGCATCAAGTTCAGTGGCCCACATAAGGCTATTTGCTGGACCCCATCCGACCAAAAATATACTACACATCATTTTTATTTTATCACAAAAATAAGAGAAGAATAAAAAAAAGCGGTGCACTATAGGATATCGAATTGTAGACTATGCCCAGCTACAGCATTTTTACTTTTACTTGTTTATTTTATATTATATAATTGCGATCGGTGAATTGAATACGAAAAGACATGAAAGTGAAACGGGCGAAGATTGCGGTATTTATGCATTCAAGACTGTATATTGAAAGAAAGTACCGTCTCTTTTTTTAGGTATCTTCTATAATATGCGATATATTCTTGGAGAATATCTTTCACAAAAAAGTAAAGTTTTTTTTATACAGTAGATGGGTGAGGGTTATGTTCATTTTGTCAAAATGCTTGCAACGCCCAGAACGAAGCATCAGAAACCCCACAAAGTGTATATATTCTTGATCAGCATCAAATTCTTAATCTATTTAAGCACATTCGTCTGTCCGTTGTAAACACTCCCCTGGCTGCAAAAATGAAGCTATCAAATTCAAATTTGGTAGTAAGAGTGGAAGTTTTTGCAAGCGGGTTGGTTTTGGAAATGGCCAAATTGGTAGAAGGAAATGCCCAAAGCATCACGTAAATTGAGAACAACTTTGTTCTTCAAAAGGATATTATAGTGCATCAAGGTTTCATTTTTTTTAATACCCTTATAGGGGACGGAAGCACGCTTCAAAAGTCCCACAAAGTATATAAATTCTTGGCCAGTTTCAAATCCGTCCGTCTGTGCCCCTGTCCATTGGTCCGTCTGCGCAACTGTGTAATATTTGTGGCATACCTTCTCCCGTTGCCCACAAATTTACAAAAGAATTTGGAAGTAACTTACACTTTTCCACGGACACGCCTACGCGACAAAAACGTTCCATTTGAAAATAGAAGAAATCGACAGCGCCCCCTCCATATTAAAGAGCATGAAAATTAAGTCTTTTATTTGTCTTGTCTTTCTTTGGGGTAAACGGTGATGGGTATAAAAGATTCGGTCCTGACCGAATATAATATTCTTACTTGTTTAATTTAACAAAAAAACATTTGAAGTCGAAAAATAACAATCAACGCCAACAATAAACCAAAGCAGACGTTATTCAATCGTAGCATAATATTAAAAGGGAATATCATCAACGAAAAGGATGAGTCACACAAATAGGCAGACAACTTATATATATATATATATATATATATATATATATATAGAAGAAAGAAGATGGTAAGAGCTTGAATACAACGCAGAATACAACATAGCTCACAGACCCGTAGCGAGACAAAAATAACAATAGCTTTTTTTACACAGCATTTACTAACAAACCAAGCATAATACATATATATAGATACAGACGCAAACATGGATCCATTGAGAAGAAGTGAAGAAAATCATAAGATAAATTAAGGAGTGTTTCTTAAAGTTAATCTCTCCAGTCAGTGGTGGTATATGCATATTCGATACCATTATAGGGTACCACCACATTAGGTATTTAGGTACATACGCGTATATCTGTAAGTGTTTGTGTGCACGTGTATTTGTATGCATGTAGTTTTCCGAAGATATGTAAAAGAGTGGCGCCTTGAAAATCATATTACAAACTTTAAAGTTACCCAAGTAACTTCTTTTCCATTTTTTATTTGTTTTGTGCTATTATTCACAAGAAGTGCACTCCCGCACGCGCATGCGGACGCACACGTACACACACATATGCGGAAATTCAGTTTTGAAGCTTCGAATAACAAAAGCAAAAAGCACGCGTAGACTTTCATGCGTTTTGTTGGTATATTACCGGAGAGAGATGTCGCGCTATTAAAAAAACCACAATCAGCAAACATGACGCCGTTGTCCCTACTTAGGTTCAAATGTGGCATATTGAGAATATTTGTTTACAAGTGTTGACAGCTGTCGCTTGCTTGGTTGTTTGTATTGCATGGTTTGTTGCATAGTTGGGGAAAAAAACCACAAGCCAAACTGACACACGCGACCGCTTGCTAAAGAATCTATGAAGAAAAAGGCGAGAAAAGTAATCGAGGAGCTTCTTGCTTGCGTCTGCCACTATAGAGACGACTAAGAGATTTGAAAAATTGCTCAAAAGCAAACTTCCGGTAAGCGTAAGCCTGTTCAAGTCTGTATTAAATAGGTAAAGAACACTCACCTGTCGTATCCATGTAAACGATTAAAATGCTAAAAACCGTCGCAAACAATAGGATACACAATGCTATAGGCAATAATTGACGATAAGGCGACGGACCCAAGCGTGGATCAAATTTTTTTAGATTTTTACTTCCGTTCGTTAAGCTTGACAACGGTAAAGGCGTCGGTGTTAACGTATTGGTATTGGTTTGGCTTTGATGCTGTAATTGATGGTGAATTTCGTGCAGATGCTGCTGCTGCTGCTGCTGCTGCTGCTCCAAAGGTTGTTTAGCTGTTGACGTATTTAAAACAGTAGTTGAGGTGACGGAAGAGGAGTTTAGAGTTTTAGACGTGTTGGCAGCTAATGTATTACTTGTCTGGCAACATGACTGTACCACCACTTGCTGTGTGCGGGGTTGATGAAAGTGTGACGTAATTCTTGTTGGCGTGGATAGCGGTGACGAGACAGTACTGGCAGATGGGCTAGTTAACGTGCTGCTCAAATCGCTTATACAACTCACATCGCCCACACTGCCGCTGAATGGATTGTCCACTGCTTTTTGAGTAGCATGAGAGGTTCGACTAAATCGATGCTGTAGATGATCATCTTCATCTACTGAGGCAAGTGTTGTGTTTCTTGAGTCTATACAATCTTTGGTGTTATTTCTTAAGCGAGATGCAAAAGGTAATCTTCGCCTTCTAGTCTCTTCCGCGTCCACTTCGTCCAAATTTCTAACTTCTAAGCCATGCTGCTCTGGCAGCGTGATGGCATCCTGTTGCTGTGACGACGACGTTATTAAATCAGTTCTCGAAGCAGTTTTTGCCAATGATTTATTGCAAACTCTTGCACTAATGGAGTTATGCCTTCTATGTTGATGATGCGCCTGGCTATGCACTAAGCTGTTTGCACCTCGTTCAGTACGTTGCAATTGCTCTGAAGCTAGTGCAGGGTGTGTGGAATATATTTTAGACATTATTCAGGGATTCGTTTAATTTTGGAAAATATATATATATATATATATTTTTTTTTTAATTTTTTCAGCCTTATATTTTGTGCAGGCTTTTCGTAGCGTTTTTAGGAAACTGTCCCTCGTTTTGACGACGGCTTTGTGTGGATGTTGTGGTGGCCGAAAATCTTCTTCCTAAACATTTTCTTAGTGATATTTGCTTTCAATGGATTTCAGAATAAATGCTGAAAATAAAAATCAATGGACAGAAATATATTTTTTATTATTTTATATAATATTATATATATATATATATATATACTTTATAAATCAGAAATTTTGAATAGCGTACGACCAAAGGTACAAAGGAGTAAGTGAAAGAGTCAAGTGAAAGAGGAATTATATAGAATTGCGTTCTGTAGAGACATTTTCTTATTCGATTGCATATCGGTCGCAAATATCCTGTAACACTATATATTTCAAATCGTTTTGCTTACGGTTTGGCAACACTTTATAGGTAACTGTACAGAATATAACACCCGTTTACATGTTTTGCTTCATATAAATATCGGCTTTTTCCTAATTGTGCACAGTTCTGAATAGCTCATGATTTACTTGGTCTTCCTACGTTTTAAGGAAATATATAAGATTCAATTTAAATTTCTACGATTTTCTTGTGATAATTTAACAAATAACGTCCGTTCTAATTGTGGGTCAGCCTTTGCTACAGTCAATCTGATTTTCGAACTTGATAGCCGTTGTCGGCTCTGTTTTAGTTTAGACTGTCCCGCGGAATGCTTTTCTTATGCTGAGATAGAATATGCATATAGACCATAGTAACTAATTGTACCTAAATATTAAATAACAACAAATGACTTTTTATAAGTATGACGATCGACTGTCGGTATATAAGCAGCGGCCATAAAGTTTGCAGCATTTAATCGTATGTAGGACGCTATTTAAATATTAACCCTAAGAAATGAATGAATGAATGAATGAATGAATGAATGAAGGAATGAATAATTTGTTATTAAAAATTGTTTTATTTGCCTGCCAAATTATTGTTTTTTATGATCTGCACACTCTTGCGTACGTTCGAGCATGTTTCCTGGTAAAAATATGGCCAAAATTGTCCGTTTTATCCTTCTCCAAAGACACTCACGCTACACGACCGACTTTTCTGAAAAAACAACTGACCATTTGTTTCGACCGAGAGACTCTTTTTTTTTATTCTCTTTTAACGGTCGACAACTGTTTACTTCCCAACTCATGTGAGTAAATCTATCTAGAATCGCCACCTATTGAAATTTTGTGGACTACCGTTGTCCACACCAAGCAGCAAGAGCTGGTTTGAGATTTTAGGAAATTACAGTTGCCTCAAGCTCACAAGGTGACGCTCTTCGAGCTTGGTACAGTAACTGATTTTGGATGACCTTTACGAGTTTCGTCAATAAGCGAACTGCAGTTGCGATCAAACTCGTTAAGGGAGATCGGGTATCCTCGCCGAAAGTGGAAGCAAGTTGATCGGTGGAGTCTTATGTTTATAATCCACAAATTAATTTCTACAAGTTAATTCTATTTTTTCACTGAGACACAATTTTCAAATCGCTTTAAACACAAAACAGAGCGGACCCAAGTGATAAAACGTTCTAGAGAAGATTATGCATAATCGAAAATGTTAAAGTTTCCAATGGCACCGGACAACATTTGCCTAAAATACAATAGTGCCTCACATAATTTCGATATGTCGACTGACGGTTGTCGGCGGCTGAATCGATTTTGTTATCCTATCTGAAATTTAAAATGCTTTCCAATGCAAGGCATAAAAATCACAGAAAAGCAAAACTCTTAAGGAGCTTACGAATGTTTGAAGCACATCTATAAGGGAAAAGAAAAAATATAGCGTACGGCTGCAATTGCATTGGCAATTGTGAATGAATATGTATGTGTGCGTTTATTTAAAAGAAATAAACACCACCTGTCAAAAATCTACACATCTAAGTAAATATTAAGAGCAGACGTTCATCTTCATATTTTCATGAATAACGCAAATGAAAAAAAATGTTAAGGATTTTTCAATAGTTTTAATTTTAAAAGCAACAACAATAATTGTATAAAATTACGGCATTTTTAACAACATTAAATGCCGCACCGTCTCTTCTGACAACAATACTCAAGCGAGAAGGAGAAGATGATCAGCATATTACCAACCAGACACAATGAAATGCAAACTGCAAAGCGTTTTAAACAGAGAAACCAAATTCAAACGACTGAAGGCTCTAATAAAACGGATCGAAATATCGGTACTTGTGCGCCTGCGCAACAGTCGGTTGCAAGAATAAATGAACCAATTCTTTCCTCTTGTCTTTCCTTTTTTTTGTTTTTTGTTTTCTTTCCTTCGTCTCTTCTTTCGTCTTTCCATAATATTTAATGAGATGTGAGTTGAACGACTACGACAACGACGACGACGACGACAGCAGATGTTTTATTTATTCTTTTAAGACTTTTTTTCTACATACGGTAGACTGACTAAAGGTAGGTTAGAATACAAAAACAACAAAAATAGCAACAACAAAAACAGTAATAATAAGAATTTTATGAACCATAAAGTTTTATACACATGTACTCTATCCAATCTACACATGCATGTCTAAAGTTTGTTTATGGAATGTACACAAGAGGCTGAAGAATCGTTTGGAAGCTAAAAAAAATTGATCTTTAGCATGATCGTAATTGTACCCGGTGACGATAATATTGGTATAGTTATGCTCTGACCAGTTATGCTCTTACAAGTAATAGGTGAGCATAAGTGCGCGAAAGTTTTTTGTTAGAAGATAATCATTAAAATTGAATTCGATTTATTTGAAGAAATATGAAGAACTTCTGAAAATACGATTCGAAAATCTTATAAGCAGCATGTACTCTCGATTCAGGCAGGCTCAACTCAGATTAGCATGTCTGGTACTTGTTTTCTTATCCTTCCACTTCCCCATCTCCTACGGAATTTATGGAAATTTTCTAATTAATTTCACTAAACAGGATAAACAAAGAGATTTCCTTGCTTATTTTATTTTCTTCTTCTTCTTCTTTTTTATCTTTTAAATAGATTTTAAAAACTAGCATTCTGCCAGAATGTTACCGGTTTTTGTTTTTAACTTAAAATTATATATATTTTTTAAAGTATTGACCATCGCCCGCCCCACACTTTCGCATCTCTCCAGCAATTTGTAAACTCTCTTCCGCAACGAATTGTTCGTCTTTTGAAGTAAACCATTTGTCGAATCACTTTCGATTATCGAAGTGTTTCTCAGACAATTTTGGCGCTGATGCAAACTAATGGTACTTAAGAGGATCCATGTGTTATGTTATAGCTGGCATGACATTACCACCCCGTCAAGCACTTTCAAGTTAACCACAATGAGTTTCTCTTCGCTCGAACAGTAAAATAAGATCATCTTAATATGGCCCTTACCATTCTAGCCGCCTTTTTATCCTGAAATTTTACTTATTCCTGAAACTTTGTAATTTTGCTATCGATTTGATGGTTAGTCCGGCGTAGTCGCCCCTACGTATTATCTTTTGTGTTCTCAAAATTAATTATCCGTCGCTCATGAAGATGCGACATATATGCATTCTTCAAGCAGCGCCTCGCGCCGCTCTCGTTGAATCTCTTATCCAGCTCATGTGGTCCCCATTTACTTGACTTTTGCCTCTTTTTTGGTAGGGGACTTTTTTGTGCACATGACACCTTTTAAAAGGAGAGAAATAACTTATGATAGCTGCTATCCCTTTAGAGCGATTTTTAGAAACCTTCATCGAACTCCTTTCCTACGATTGCGAGTGAAATGAATTGATTGAAGAAATTACGTGTGACATTTATGATATCGTATATGAATGCATATAAAATTTTTACTTTCTTCAGTCGCTTGCAAATAACGGAGGAAAAAAAAAAATAGACCTTCTATCGTATATAATGGAAATATCTACTCATGTGTGTCACACACATTGATTTTTCCTAAATTTTCTTCTTTTTTTTTTAAACGTTTGTTTTATTTCTTTATTTTTTTTTTTTTATATTCTTTCAGCCACCCCAAAAAGGCGCCTATAATAAAACGAAGACGTCTGGCTAGATATGTGCACACATAAATATCCGCGTACGCTTATAGACGGCAGACGTTAATACAAGTGGATACAATATATTTAATTGATTTTTTATATATTTTCAACATTTTTAGCAAATTTTTAAAATGTATTTTAGCTCAGTAAGACGAACAAGCGCAAAAAATTAAGAAAAGAAAACAAAAAAAAAAAAAAAAAAAAACAAAAAAGAATAAACCAAACACATACACAGACACACATATACATACCGACATTTGGATTCATGTTGAAGAAAAATTGTACTTTAGGTATATATGGAAAAACCATGTGTTCTTCTGTATATCTACATATATATATATATATATATACATATATATATATATATATATATACATATATATATATATATAAAAAAATAAGTGTATATATTACATACGAATATGTATATGGCTGTTATTGGCACTCTTATATAGATATATATATACAGTGGTAGTAGAAATGGTAGTTGCCAAGTGCAATAAAAATTCACGCGACTTGCAATAAGGCAGAAATAACAAACATAGAATCATGACCATGTGTCTTCTTGTCTGATTTGCTGTCTGTCTGCGCACTTCTTTGGCTAGTTATTTGGCTGCATGACTGGCTGGTTGGTTGGTTAGTTAGTTCGGTTTGGTTGGTTTGGTTCAATTGACTGGATAAAGTACACTAAGAGGGCAAAAAGTTCCAGTGCGCTGTCTTTATTATCGATTTCAACTTTTAAAATTGTCGTTGTCGTCGC